GTATTGTTATAACTCTATGGCTTTAACCTTTGCTCTATTGTTATCTAGAAAAATACATGCATTCCTCAATGGAGTACATTTTCTTAAAGTACGTACATTCAACATGATCTTAGTTATTAATCTGTGGTTCTTTTTCAGGACACATCCGAATCTCAGACCTGGGCCTTGCTGTTCAGATCCCTGAAGGAGAGACGATACGAGGGAGAGTGGGCACTGTTGGATACATGGGTAAGAATTTGGGGAACTGTGATATCCTCTTCTACCTCCGCAAGCCTTCATCTTTCTTTAAGAAAACCACTGCAATAGACTTCATCAGCTGTCTCTGGTCCACTCCATTCAGATTGTAAACCCCTCTGTCAGGTTTCCTGTTTGCCTTTTGAACTGACCTCTCCTCTCGCACTCCTCATCCCTGCCTCCCTCAGCTCCCGAGGTGATCCAGAACGAGAGCTACACCGTCAGCCCGGACTGGTGGGGGCTGGGCTGCCTGATCTTTGAGATGATACAGGGCCAGTCGCCCTTCCGAAAGCGCAAGGAGCGTGTCAAGCGGGAGGAGGTGGACAGACGAGTGCGCGAGGACCAGGAGGAGTACTCTGATAAGTTCGTGGAGGAGGCGAAGGACATCTGCAGACAGGTGAGAGGGAGGAGACAGCTGGCTGTGGGGGGGGGAAGGACGACGACACATTAACACATTTCTTTGAGACTGGTGGCAAATGAGGACGCGGATGGACGTAGCTGACGCCAGAGAGGAAGTTGGTGATGGATTTCAGTTCCGTATAGTCACGAAACTTCAAGCTCCTGTCTTGATAAATGACTTGAACAGGTTTATATTACTGCAATAACTGCCTTTATTAATATAATAAGTAGGCGTGGCCTCGATAGCGGAGCACCTTTTATCTTCTGCCACTCACTCAGTAGACACAGTGGCAAATGAAAAGCAGAAGTTGCACAGCGAGATATTAGAAACAAAGCTGTTTGACTGACAGTGTTTCATTGCAGAGACCATGATGTCTCCAAATAACATTTTATTTTGTTATTTCAGTAGCTTCTGGTTTTATCTAAATTTCCTTTTATATCATTGAAGTACTTTATGTTCTAATTATTTTTCAAGATTAGATAATAATAATGTAATATTATAATGAATTTTGCCAAGATCCACATGTCATTTTGTTCTATATCATGTCAGGGTTGTGGGGAGTTTTTCTCAACATACGAAGCATTTTTTGTATCGTTCTCTTTATGAGTCGGAAGTGTTTACGCTGAATCTAATTGTTTGTTTTGTTTAAAAATACACCTTATTCCTGAACAACTTCAGTTCAAACCTGTTATTAGACAGTGGAACAAGCTGTAAGCACACAACACTGACAAATGATCACCTTTTTAAAGTTGCATATTTACACATCCAGCTGATAAAGAGCGACAGTGTTTGCATTTCTGGTGACCTGACGGATGGTCTCCATCTCTAAGAGAAATAGCTCTTTAGCTGCTAAATGCTCTTCTTGTGTGACGCGGTGGAACATTATGACCCGAGGTTCAGCAGATTCATAATCTCCCCAAGGAGAGGGGGAGGGGGGAGAATGGTTTCAGGGAGAAATGGGCGCAAGATAATAAGGAAGGGGAGAGAATGCGGGGGGGGGGAGAAGCGGAGCTATTACCACAGCTCAAAATAGACAAGTGATCCAAGTTGTTAAGAGCAGAGAGTGAGAGTGCTTTGAACCCTGGTGGAAGTTGACCAAGAGTTAAAGACGAGAGAAACAATTGGGAACTAGAAAGAGGCGTGGGGGTGGTGGTGTGGGGGGGAGGAGCCTATTGGCCTGCTGATTGTGAAAGCCACCAGCTCACCACTGGCACTGCCACCACTGGCCCAGTGACAACTGGGCCAGTGAGAGTGTCCACTGGTAGCCAAACCACGAAACAGCACTCATCCACTTCATGAGCCTGCTGCTCGGTAGGTGGTGCGCTGGTGATATGATCCAGAGGTTCTCGTGGAGGTTCTCGTGGAGGTTCTCGTGGAGGTTCTCGTGGAGGTTCTCGTGGAGGTTCTCGTGGAGGCTCTGGTGGAGGCTCTGGTGGAGGCTCTGGTGGAGGCTCTCGTGGAGGCTCTGGTAGGGGCTCTCGCAGGGGCTCTGGTAGAGCCTCTCGTAAAGGCTCTGGCAGAGGCTCTCATAGACGCTCTCGTAGGTAGGGGCTCTCGTAGGTAGAGGCTCTCGCAGGTAGGGGCTCTCGCAGGTAGAGGCTCTCGCAGGTAGAGGCTCTCGCAGGTAGAGGCTCTCGCAGGTAGAGGCTCTCGCAGGTAGAGGCTCTCGCAGGTAGAGGCTCTCACAGGGGCTCTCGTAGGTAGGGGCTCTCGTAGGTAGAGGCTCTCGTAGGTAGAGGCTCTCACAGGGGCTCTCGTAGGTAGGGGCTCTCGTAGGTAGGGGCTCTCGTAGGTAGAGGCTCTCACAGGGGCTCTCGTAGGTAGAGGCTCTCGTAGGTAGAGGCTCTCACAGGGGCTCTCGTAGAGGCTCTACTTCTATCCACGCTGGTGCTGCATTAACCCCTGAGTGCATGGATTTGTATCGGCCTTTATTAGCTTACATTGGGTCAGATACATAAAGGCAAGAGGATTACATGCACACTATGTATACGTCGCACTAAATGTGCGGTTATGAATGAATAAATAGAGGTTTAGTTCGTATTAGTTTTGTGAGATATTTGAAATACATAAAGCTATAATTTACACTCTATTTGGGCGAACACGCACATCTTCAGAGAGTTGTAATGTTTGAACCTCTCGTGCTTCTTCTTCCTCCTGCTGCGTGTCAGCTCCTGGCTAAGGACCCCAAGGAGCGACTGGGTTGCCAGGGTCGAGGGGCCATAGAGGTGAAGCAGCACCCCATCTTCAGAAACATCAACTTCAAACGGCTGGAGGCCAACATGCTGGACCCTCCCTTCAGCCCTGATGTAAGGACAGCACACACACACACACACACACACACACACACACACTGTGCATACAGGCTTGATTCACAGCTTGTAGTCTAGAGCCTCGGCGAGCACCGAGTCGGCATACAGGAAATACCATTGTCACAAGTAAACAAACACTTCCAGTGGGGGGGTGAGAAGCAGGCTTGTGATGTCAGTGTCGTTGAAATCCCCACAGAAGTGACTTAAAGCAGAGTTTCCCTGTTTGGTGGTAATCATCACTAATACTAAGACCTCCAGCTGTGGTTCCCTAGATACATGTAGCTTAACCAAAGGCACCGTTAGCTTTCTCTAAGCTGTTCGTATAGAGAGTCATCACATGTTCAGTGTCAGTGGCCTGAGAGGTTAAATCAATAGCTGAAAGTAGATCGTGCTATCTGCGTTTCTATTTTGGGTGATTCAGGTCAGTAGGGCCACGCTGAGGCAAACAGTCTTTATGCGTGTGAGGGCTTCCATGTTATTAAAATAACCATCTGAATTATTTCAGGGTTAGTATCCCCCCCCCCCATCTCCCTCTCATCCAAAACAAATCCACGTTTCACAGTTGTCTGTTCTCTCTCTCTCTCTCTCTCTCTCTCTCTCTCAGCCTCGGGCCGTGTACTGTAAAGACGTCCTGGACATCGAGCAGTTCTCCACCGTCAAAGGCGTGAACCTTGACCCCACAGACGACGACTTCTACCACAAGTTCGTCACGGGCAGCGTCTCCATCCCGTGGCAGAACGAGGTACTGCAGACAGATGATGTCATCGTACTGTACAGCGCAGTACATAGAAACACCTGCATTAAAGAACAATACCTTCCTGTAAAGGACACATATTACGCTCATTTACAGGTTCATACTGTATATTGGGTTTCTACTAGAACATGTTTGCATGTTTCTCACACTGTCGGTCTGAATATACCTGTATTCACCCTCAACAGAATAGTGTTGCCAAGTAACAGCGTGGGTCCATGTGTACTTCCTCAGCTGATATCGTTCTCACACACCGGGACCCGTTTACATTGTTCACGTTTAAAACTGTGAAACGGTCTCTACTCTAGTTGTGACATCACACGGCTCGTTTTAAGGCACAGTTTGTGAATACAGACTGTGTTTTGATTCTTTATATAGCAGTTAGACCTGCTTTATCATTTAAAACAACAACTCAATGTTCATAATGTGGGACCTTTACGAGTGACGTAGAAGGCTACATCCCTGTAAATGCTTTAAAAGTGACTCTGCCATTGCTTGTGAATGAGTCAAGTTTTTGAATATGTATGAGACACAGTGTGGAGGTGTTGATTTACATCCTAAATGCTCAATCCAGATGAACACTTAAACAGCTACCTGTAGAGAGGGTTGTGTTATAAATACACGGCACCCTCCCTTACGCTGACGCACGGGCCTTTTGTAGAACCGAGCTCCGCGGGAAGTCATCCGGATAGATAACTCGCCCTCTGGTTCTTTGCAGATGATCGAGATGGAGTGCTTCAAGGAAATCAACGTCTACGAGACTGACGGGACGCTGTGCTCAGATCTGGACGTGAATCGGCCTAATCCTCCACCAAAGAGAGGCTTCTTCTACCGCCTCTTCAGAAGAGAGGCAAGTGCTAGTGCTCCGGCAACTGTCCGGGGGGGTGGGGGCTAAGGTACTTCTTCTCTTCCTTCTTTGCTTCCTTGCAGGCCTTGACCAAACTCAACATGTGAAAACGTTCCCCCTGAACCTCGAATCCGATTCATCGCTAGTCTAAGTTGGTCAGCATAAGGCCTCTCTTTCTGCTTTTCTTTGCATATTCTTCTCTGTATTTGTTGCTGTGTCACGTTGTCTCTAGCGTGATGAGGCTTGTCTTCAGATAAACTGGTTTGTAGTTGTGGGAAGACTTAATATCAAGCTTTGCTTTTAGGAGACAGTGACACATATCACCAGATGTTTGTCAGTGTATATATAATAATCTATATAATAACTTATTTTATAGGCAACAGCAGCTACCTGTCTATTAGGTTATTTCCACCAACTTTCACCTGTCCTTTATTACAGAGACCTTTCATTTCGTTTTGTACTTGAATTCAAGGGTGTGGCTGCCACCAGGGAGACATGCCCCCCTCCCTTTTATCGTCTACCTAGCCTACACCCGTTGTTATTTTATCTTCTAACTTGCTCACAGATGTGTGTGTGTGTGTGTGTGCTGGACACCAGGTGGTCCACTACAGGACTACTTCTTGTGATGTGGTGAAGTCGAGGTGGTCGTTTCAGGAGAACGTGACCTCATCCTGCACATGTGAGATGACGTAGTGATGAGAGTTGCTAACGTTGGTGATATATCCTCGCTTCTGGTTCTTCCCAGGTCTGTTTTAAGAGCGGTTACAGTGACGACGAGATCGAGGGGCCCTCGCGACTTTAAACCACTCCCTCCACCTGCCGCCTCCTCCTCCTCCTCACCCCCTTCCTCCCTCCTCCCATCCCTAACCGCTGAACTTCGCCACAAACTCCAACCGAGCGCAAATCTTAGGAACTCAGTGAATGTTGACCTGTATTTATGAGCTGTATTAAAAGTGTATTATAATTAAAGAAAAAAGTATGAGTTTAAAGATTTTGTACATTTGTACTTGAATTTATGTCTAGATGTATATTTTCACTAAAGGTTGTATTGTACAAAAAGCCATAAAAGTACCACTTGAATGCATACATTACGTTTTGATTTTCTGTTGGAATGAGTATGTATGAATAACGTGTGTCGGGGAGTTCTCTGTAAGAAGCACAGTACCAGTAGTTTTCTTTCCTTTTCTTTTCTCAATGTAGCATAAGGCCTTTTTTTTTTTTTAACATGTGCTGTATGTTTGTCATTGATTTGGTCAACATGACGTGTTGTTGGCACAGCAGATCCACCCGGTTCCCAAACTAGCCCTGAGCCTCTGCACCCCTCAAGGCTCGGGTAGATCTGAATGACGTGGGGGGAAATGCATCCAGTCTAGCGTTGCTGTGTTGATGCTGTGCTCCACCTGCCCCCCTTTGATTAGAATTGGTTTTAAAGTGATCTCCCACATCCTTCCCTCAGCCCAGTGAGGTTGCACTGGACTGTATGTTATGTGTAGGAAACCGTCTTCTGGCTTCCTGTACTAATTACATTTTCAGCAGAGATGGCATGCAGTCAGCAAGCGTTGGTATATTTAAAGTAAATATCCCGGAGGCTTTGTTCAGTAAAAGAAGGTCTGATAATTATCATTCCTGTTCTCTAAAGAATCTCTCATGGGCTCCTAAAAGGCTCCGATCTTTTAATTTCAGATATCAGACTGTGTTTCCTTCTGGAGAACAGCTGTTTAGTGAAAGTCTGTTACATTATTCACTCAGGCAAAATATGTCTTTTGGTTATCTTTATTCCTCATCCTTTCTTTTACCGCTTCTTATATTGTACTACCTGGCTTTTCTTTCTTTTGTTTTTCCTGACGTGTCCAGTTATTGTTATAAACCAGTTTCATGGGCCGAGCGGAAATCCTTTCCCTTCAAGTATCTTAGTAATTTGCCACCCATGTTTTCAGTATACCAGAAAGCCAGGTGGAGTTGGAACACATGACAGATGATGATGGTGATGATGGCACTGTATAAGATATCTAATCTGCAGCTGACGAGGGCTTCATCTTGATAACAGATTGCTGTTGCATCAGCCTAACTTCCATTGATTAGGCTGTCAGCAGCTATTAGCCTCGGTCAAGATGCAGCCTGTAGATCACAGACAGCACGATGCCTGACGGACACACGTCCTGCTAGTAGACCTGCAGTTAGACCCCGTGGCTTTGGCTGTTTGTACTAGATGAAAACACCGTTTCTTAATCGTAATATTCCATTTTAAAACCTGTACGTTGTTGTGCCGTAGGAATGGCTTGGGACAGTTGTTTGTATGCGTGTAGACCGGGAGGAACGGGGGAATCATCATCCTGCAGCCAGAGTCTGTGTACAGGAACATTTGTCCACTTGCAGAACCACAGTTGCTGTGCACTTTTGTTTCTTCATAGACAAAGTGTTTACTTCCAAGTTAACCAGTTGTGAACAAATGCTTTTTCTGTACATTTCTCAGCATGTTCTCATTGTTTTTCTCATTTGCATTTCGGAGGCATTTGAAGCCGTTTTGCTTTTGAATTTAGCTTTTGAAGCAGTTGCTGTTTACTCCCCATCACCTGTTTTAATGCTGTGAATACCCAATCTGGACATGTTCACTGTGTGTGTGTGTATGTGTGTGTGTATGTGTGTGTGTGTGTGTGTGTGTGTGTGTGTGTGTGTGTGTGTGTGTGTGTGTGTTTTTCATTGTAAGCAACTGCAGCTTCTGTTTAATCTTAATGCATTGAAGTACAACGTCTTGAATGTCACTCATTTGAATATTAAACCGTTCAAGACATTACATTTAAAATGGTACACGTATAATTCCCCATCCTGATATCTAATCTGGAGAGTTGGCTTGTTCTACAAATGTTGTCCCCTGTCGCACATTCCATTGTCAAAAATCAGGAATCGAATGCGTGCATCTGTTGCTGGCTCGTCATCACTTGAGTTTCTGAGTGTCTTTGTTCTTTTTGTTTTGTTGCTCTCAGGCACATTTTGAAGCTGATTTCTCTTGCCTCTGTAGATTTTAGCCTTTTAGCTCTTTAGCCTCAAAAACCTTGTAAATGATGTATTTCTAACATGTAACTAACACACATTCACTCTCTCTCACAGGGAAACTAAACTGTGTTTGCCACCCATGCCTCTGTCATTGTTTGAACTTTGCTCTTATACCATCCATATAGCAGTAAAGAAAGTCTGTTTAGTTTCATTGCACTATGTTGTGTTTTGACGATGACTATAGGAAGTGTCTTTAACCTTTTTTTGCCAATGATACCAAAAGCAACATCAAGTAAATCAAACTTGTCTTGTTGTCTGAAAATTGTACTGAAGAAAGACTGACGGCCTTTATTATATGTGCCAATTACCAAGTTATGTTCTGACATCCTGCCTTTCTTTCCAGCCTCTTTTCTATCATTCCGTCCGTTCTGAGAGAAAGTCCTTCACATAAAGGAACTTTACACAGCTCAACAGTTTTGAATGTCCGCACTAAGTGCATTGTAATGCCTGTTTTAAAAAAAAAAAAAAAAAAAAAAAAAAAAATACATATGTTTTATTACTCAAGCATGTATTGGTTTGTAATACTTCAGGTTCCTTGTATATGTAAATGATGACCTTCTAGTGCCAACATATCTCACTGGTATCTGAGGACAACTTTATAAATGGCAAGGTGACCAGCTGAGTTGGCCCCCCGTTTAAATGCACAACATGCATTCCTTCCCTTCTGCCTTCCTCCGAGGCGATGGTGGCGAGTCTTTCCCTAAAAGCTGGGATGGCTCACCAGCAACATTTAGAAGGGAGAGGTCCTCAGTTCCTTGATGTCACTTGAGTCTAGTTTTGGGATAACCACCGATGGAATGCCTGGAGGCTCTCCAGGGTTTCACACTCTTCTGTTCAGATATGTCGGATAAGTGATCGAGGACGGGAGGAATGACAAATGCATTATTGGTGTTCAAACGGGGCCGGGGACTTCTTGATTTTTTCTTCTTTTTTTTTTGTATCTGTACAGTCATGTCGTTCAACCACTGCAGTCATTGTTAATTCTTGTACAAGTTGTATCACTGGTTGTTGTACCATATCTGACATTTGTAATTATGAAATAATACACTGCCATTTCTATAAAAATGCTTGTGTCTTGACTTATTTGTGTCATAAATTGATTTGTTTGTTGTCAATTAATGTGCATAGAAAAATAGTGTCATGCTGCTGAGACTTCTATACTGTATGTCTGCATTGGTTAGAGGGCATATGCTGCAGGTAAGATGTTTTGAAAGCTTTTACTACTTCCTTGACCCAGTACATAAAGTTAAAGGTATAAATGTATTTCTAATGGGTGGTTGTGTTTTCGCCATTAATGATTTTCCTACTGAGTCAGTAGGACTATAATAAGCTTCGGTATGACTTGAAGGTGAGAGCCAGATAAGAGGTTTTCATGCACATGCTTCTTTTTTTTCTTGGGTACATCCCAAGTCTTTTAATTGCATCCACGTTGGGAGGGACTAAGATGCAAGGAAACCATACATGGAGAGAGGAAACAAGGAAATGTGTTTGAAGAGAAATAATTCATTCAATAATTAGCTGAAAATACTCGAGACCAGTAAACAGTGGCCCACTTGATTTGCTGTGATCGCTCTGACTTTTGAAGTTTGATCTTCAGATAAAAATACCCTCTTATGTTCAGCCAATTTACTCATCCAAAGCAACATGTGGCTGATGTAATAGACTAAAATTTCCAAGGACTATGGTAACAAATTTAGGCTCTATTGTCATTTTGTGAAAGTCCTGCAGTACATTACTGTATACACATGTATCAATTGAACTGTAATCTAAGAGTTTAATCTTCGTTTAATGATGCTAGCCTTCTCACAGTCACTCCCACTTATCTTCCTTAGTGCATTGATAAACCACAGCTACAGTACTGGTGTTGCTCAAATATGTTTTTACAATCTGGATTACAGCAGGTCTCGTGACAGCAACAATAACAACGAAGGGGGAAAAACTTAGTCACTCATTGGTTCTTTTGCAAGTCACTCAACATAAAACCGCAGTCTGATTGGCCACTGACGTTACGCCCCTCCCCTCTCTGTAAACCGTCACAAATGCCACTTCCTGGTGTGATTTTGTAGGGGGAATGTAACGCTGCATCAAAGATGGCTTATTATCGACCATCGTTTTGTTCATTTAGGATAAACATTGTGAAAGAATAAGAGATATATTGCACGAACAGAAGGCGGAGAGCCGGTGGTAGTTGTCGCGAGCAGTGTTAGCACTCTCGTCGCACTACGCACCGCTTGCTCTCTCATTGCGCTAACTTGTCCCACTGTGCTAGCTAGTTAGCTCTCATAGTAAATATTAGCTAGCCTAGCTAGCTTGCTTACTGTTGATTGCTAAAATGGCCACCATGGAGAAATTGATGAAGGCCTTTGAAAGTCTGAAGTCATTCCAGCAGCAGCAGGGACCACCAACCGCCGAGGAGCTCGTCCAGAGGCAGTAAGTGGATGTCTGTCTTTCGGGGATTGCATAGCCCGCTAACACCTAGACAGGTAGCTTAGCTTGCGTGCTAACGTGAGAGCCTCTCTGATAACGTAACCAAGCTTTTATGACTAGCTTGAAGCCAGATACGCTAACATGCGGACGAGCAACCAGAGGCAGTTATTTCAACTTCTATTTGAGATGTAACGTTACTGGTTTTCAGACGTTGCACCGATGCCTTTGTCGTCTGATATGACCCTTATTTGAGTGTCAGCCAGGCACATCTTTCGGGTCAGACCAGCTGAATGATGGCTATCACAGTCCGTTACTTTATGCCCACGCACCTGCTAAAGGGACCGAGGACCGATTCAAAGTGTCTGCTTGAATAAGTTGATCTCGGAAGAACATTGTTTGGAAAGCCACGTTCACATTTCCAGTGTATCATTGTGTAGTTGATTGTACAGGAAGGTAGATATTATAACTACTTCTCTGCCCGATGACCTGGGGCATTAATATAACGTCACTGACGCCTGTCCATGCACCCCATCCTGGTCAGTGGAGGAAGAGGTGCATGCTTTTGTTTTGATTGAGCTTTTTCCATCACAGGATCGCATGCCAAATACTTTCAGTCCTGATTTGACCTTTTTCCATATTTTCAGGTGTATTATTCAGCCGTAATCATTTCAAGTACATCTGTCAGGTTCTAAAGTGGTGTTGGTGTTCGTAGCAGACTCATTAGGTCCATCTGCCTGTCCAAAGGTGCACTGTGTTCTAAACACGTGTAGTATAATGTAGGCTTGGCTAGGAGTCTAATAACCACTTGCACCTTTTATGTTTGTATGATCTTGAAGAGGTCACCATTCTTATCTAGTATATAGCCATATAGAACATTGCTACTTATATCCACATGACATAACTTTAAGTGGAAGCTCACAAGACAACTATTTCAGACCTGTTAACTTTGCATCTAATTCTAAAGCAAGTATCAGCAGCAGGGACAGAGCAGCACGAGCTCTGCTTTGTCCCTGGGTAAAGCACGTGTTCTAAAATAGCTGAGGGAGACTGCATATACAGTGTATTCCATCATTTACAGTGCACTTTTGATGTGGACATTTGTCTCTTTTAATCAGGGAAATGTTAGATGATACTAAAGTTTAAAGTCAGTTGAATTTCTTGGCGGTACGTTCTCAGTCTGAACCCAATTGTTGTGTCCTATCTCTGTTTCCTTGTCTTTTTGCTACCTGTTGTCTGTCCCTTCTTTTCATCCTCCTTATCTTTCCTCCTCCACAGGAAAAAGGAACAGGCTACCACAAAGAAGGACCGGGTCACACACTGCCTGACGATATGTGAAAACATTGTGGCTCAGTCTCTGAGGTAGGCCTTGCTGATTTAAAATGATGTTTAATAACAGTGACCCACGATTAATGCAATAGATGCCAGTTGGTGTTGGGTTGCATTGAGAGGACATGGCTTTTTACCACTTCTGATTCATTTAAACTTCCCGGCCTGGGCTGGACCGTAGGCACAATTTCTTCTTGTAAAGCATGAAAGACTGGTTGCCATATTTGTAGTTTTATAGTTGTAATGATACATACTTTGCTGGAATACCCTGATCTGCATTTATTATGGTCCACAACAAGGTATTTGAATTACTAGCTTGCTTGCGGTCACAGAATGTGTGAAACTCATTATATCTTCTAAATGCAAAGTTTTAGAAAATGTAGCTTTAGCTATCCGTGTTCAAAGATAGTTTCCATCACAGTTGCTTCATATGAAGCTCCGTCAGCTCTTATTATGGGATGCTTTTATCTTTAGTATGTATTATTCTCACAAATAAAGTTGGTACGGTCAAGTGTGTTTTTTTTTTTTTCACAAACGTCGTCTGTTAAAAGATGGACATGTCTGCGTAATGACCGTTTCCTCTCTCTTCTCCTCCTATGGTCCTGGGAGCAGAACTTCTCCAGAGTTTCAGAAACTGCTGGGCATTGCCATGGAGATGTTCCTGCTCTGCAGCGATGACAGCGAATCAGACGTCCGGATGGTGGCCGACGAGTGCCTGAACAAAATCATCAAAGTGAGCACCGAGCAGCGCCCCATATGACTCGTTTCTCTCCTCTTTTTGACACTGTTTCTTCAATAATAGGACAATACCGTTGATCAGCAATTGATACACAGTTGGTACCCACTGAAGACGGAGTAATGAGCCTTGATGTGTGCGTATTGTGATGAGATATGTTATCGCCGTGTCAATGTTTGATCTTTATTTTCAGGCTTTGATGGACTCAAACCTGCCTAGACTGCAGCTGGAACTGTACAAAGAAATTAAAAAGGTATTGGATGAGTGTCTTTGTTGTTGTTCGTCTTTTTATGCAACAGTTTTATTCTCACTAATGACTAAGGTTTGACGTATGTTTCATGTTTAGTGTAAAAACACTTCATGTGTCAATGTTTGTGTATCTCTGTAGAACGGGGCCTCTCGGAGCCTGAGGGCAGCTTTGTGGAGATTTGCTGAGCTCGCTCACCTCATCAGACCACAGAAATGCAGGTATACGCGCACACACACACACACACACACACACACACACACACAATGCCTGAAAATGGCTTTCTACTTCATTCACATGGCAACAATATTTACATTTCATCATGCCGAACTCAGAGGGGAAAATCCCGGGACAGCACATTTCGTTGTAGATTGTAAACTTCTTATGTTAGAATCAGTAGTTGGTTCACCCTTAGAGACCCACATTGGCCAATGTTTGTGTTTTTTAGAAAGACGTTAGGGGGAGATAGCAGGTCAACAGTTTGTGCAACATCAAAGTATTATAAATCATCTGAAAACTGGGAACCTGAAGATTAATTTGAGATGCAGCTCAAGTTGTTCTAGTCAGAAATCAGAAATAAAAGATAAGTATCTAAAATACATTGTGAAAGTGTATAAGGGCGCAGAGCAATATGATGGAGGTATGCCACACATCCTCTGAATCCCCTTAGTCTTTAGTTTGTGGTGGTAAAGTTTGATGAGGCTGTGATTATCATCGATAATAAACAGGTCATTTTATACAATGAATGGCTACTATTGGGACTAACATAATCACACATGAATGTAATGCCATTCCATCACTGTTTAGAGACCCCAGTGTGCAGAAATATTCAAATACACCATTTTTAGAATAGGCGAAAAACCACGTTAGTAACTTAATTAAATGTATACTGCATACAAAATACTGCATGGTTTTTGCCCTAGACTGCATGGGATTATCATACAGCAGGCATGTCTGTAAAGGGGACAGTTGTGAGTACCCATAGAACTGATTTTCATTCATATATCTTGAGGTGAGAGCTCAAAGGACCCCTATGAATATGGACATTCCAGTTTGTTCCCTCGCCAACACGTGTAGCCTTATTTAGCCCCTTTCCTGTGATGATGCCAATAGCTTTAAAACTCAGCCGTCTACGGCCTCTTCACACAGTAATGTCGGCCGATTGCCAGCATTCCTTACAAACACCGATGGTTAGGGGAAGAAACATCAGTGTCTGACTCAGTTTTAAATGTTTTTTTTACTACTTTCTTTCGTTTGCATTCTTATACCTCTCTCCGTCTCTTGTGGTCCAGACCTTACCTGGTCAACCTGTTGCCATGCCTCGCTCGAATCACCAAGCGGCAGGAGGAGACGGTGCAGGAGACTCTGGCTGCTGCAATGCCCAAGATCATGGCCGCCTTGGGGCACTTCGCCAATGATGGCGAGATCAAGGTATCCACACAGCAGAAGCAGAAACATTGAAACTGGAGAGTGTGGGAAATGAATTGGGGCGCAGATCATTTTTGCTTTCAAATAATTGTTTTTCAATAACGCTTCAGTTAGTTTATCTCAAAGCCGTAGTTAAACAAAAAAAAGGCTGAAGAGAGGTTCCCTTTTTTAAGAAGTTTGTATTTTTTGAAGTCTTGCTCCTTTCCAGCAATGTCAAAAATCTATCATTAAAAAGATTATAAAAATGTAACTAATTAAAAAGGAAATAGAGAAGGAAATCTTGCAACAGCTTTCTTTCATTGTAGTCCAACCGTCTTTGTTCCAGGTGCTGCTGAAGTCATTTGTGGCCAACCTGAAGTCCAGCTCCCCCACCATCAGACGGACAGCAGCCAGCTCAGCCGTCAGTGTGTGCCAACACTCCAGGCGCGCCAGCTACTTCTACACATGGCTCCTTAACATGCTGCTGGGTAGGGCCACACACACACACACACACACACACTCTGACTGAACAGTTCAGATTATTTCAGCTCAACATTTGTGGGCTAGTTTGGTGTCAAACGGCGACAGACATTCAGAGAGGACACGTAATCTCACACCCTGACCCTTCTAGGTCTGCTGGTCCCAGTGGATGAGGAGCACCTCAGCCACCTAATTCTGGGGGTGCTGTTAACCCTTCGCTACCTGATGCCTCTGCTCCAGCAGCAAGTCAACACCACCAGCCTCAAAGGAAGCTTTGGAGTCACGAGGAAGGAGGCTGACGTACAGCCGACACCCGAACAACTGCTGCAGGTAGAGGGAAGAGAGTGATTGTGTGGATACCAGTGTTTGTATGTTAATTGTATAGTTTTGGCTAAATTCCGTGTGTGTGTGTGTGTGTGTGTGTGTGAAGGTGTACGAGTTGACCCTACACTACACACAGCACTGGGATCACAATGTGGTCACAGCAGCTCTGGAGCTCCTGCAGCAGATGTTCAGGACTCCCCCGCCAGAGCTTCTGCACATGCTCATCACCGCAGGCAGCATTCTTCACGGCACTGTTTTCCGCCAGGACATAGAGAGCCGAGCACGCTCCAGCAGCATCCTGGAGCTCATCGGTAAACACGAAGCTTTTGTTCAATACAATGTGGGCTCTACAGTGTTTTACACCGTCACCTGGCACCTGGGGGCCAATGTATCTGCTTCAAGTAGCTTTTATTTCATTAACCCTTACTGACAGACTTGCTCTACTCTCGTTCCTGCTTTGGTTTGAGTTTACGGCCGTTTTCTTTGCTTGCCGACTCATTTCCTGTCGCCTGTAAATAATAGAGCTTTTGCTGCTTTTCTCTTCCTCGCCTCCTGTTTCTACTTCCTGTTTCCTGCCATTTGCAGCAGGGGGAGGGTCTTCCTGCAGTCCACTCCTTCTCAGGAAACAAAGAGGTGACCGGTCTATTTATCCCCTCTGCTCACCTCTACCTCTAACTGATGCTTCAGTCAGGGTTTGGGCAAATTGACCTCCGACTGAGTCACCTAGGGTGGTTGATTGTCTTCAGAGTTCAAGATATATTGTCAATAATGCACAATATTTGCTTTTAAGGCATATATCCAAGTCTTCTGTTTTGTGTTTGAATGCACTCAGTTAAAGGTAACTTTGCTTCATAGAGGTTTTAGTCTCTTTCCCTCGAGTAATGGTGATGATGTTATGTTGACACTAAACCTGTCGTTTCAAGGTAAAATGCTTTCTGGGGAGGAGGATGGGTTGGATGATGATGCAGAGAGAACAGAGGTCACTACTGGTGTCTTCACAGGTAAGACGCCATCACCAGGAGGCAGCCTCACTTTTCAAACTAGACGGTAAAGCCTCATGCAACAGTGATAACCGGGCTCCGTGTGCGTCTTTGCTTCAGCGACAGTCGCCGCTGCGGACGGCTCCTCTGCGGCCCAGGTGGACATCATCACCGAGCAGCCGCGCTCCTCCCAGCACACCCTGCAGGCCGGCGACTCCGTGGACCACAGCGCCTCCTCGGAGCAGGGCGGAGGCGGGACTTCTGCATCGGACACTCCCGAGTCACCCAATGACAACGAGGAGGAAATGCTGAGTCGGAGCTCCAGCGGCGGGGCCAACGTCACTCCGGAGACGGCAGACTACACCACACCAGAGACGGAGGGAGGGCCCGGAGAAGGAGCGACTCTGCTGGGCACTAATGATGGCTCACTTCCACCCAGCGACTCCTCCCAGACCACCACAGAGGGACCAGACTCGGCTGTCACACCTTCAGACGTAGCAGAGCTGGTCAGTGTGTGTGTGTGGGCATGCGAGTGAGATTCAATTTGGTTCGAGGATACATCTTGAACATTCAGTACTTTAAGTGTGTGTGTGTGTGTGTGTGTGTGTGTGTCGGCGTGCTTCCCTAGACACTGAAAGACTTAATTACCATGCAATGCTATAATTAACTGAACTCTAATGTCCCTAAAGGCATAGTTCCCACTTATGAATGATGCTACACTTCATAGAGTTAGGATTCATAGACTGGACAACATATTCATTCCTCACATTTAGTCTTTACCGTTAAAGGGCCGTATCGGTGGTCTTGCATGTTTTCACCCGTTTGCTACTAATTGCATTTACTGGTAATTACTGTAAACCGTTTCTCAAATCATTTAGTCTTTCCGATGGATATCCTACCTCACAGACGGCCATCGGCTCCAGTTCATGCTGTACAGTGTTTATAGTCTCGGAGTGTAAATACAGACAACAACCCTTTCCTAGAGATAGGATGCTAGTCTGCTGCACCAAGCCATTTAAAAGATTTTGGAGCTGGTTGGCAGTTATTTTTAATACATTCAATAAGAACTAATGGAACATGCAAACGACTTGTATGCTCATCTTTCACATCTCGTATGGTGTGCGTACACTATTATAAAATCAAAGTGCTCCTTACAACGTATAGGATAAGATGTGCTGCCACTTGATTCAGTCCTCTGGGTTTTGCTGCTCCCCTTCAGAGACGTCTTGGTGTGAGATAATCCACTCTAACAATTCTACCTCTATGGTTTTGCCCCCCCCCCCTCCTCTATCCTTCTCCCCGCTTCGTCTCAGTCGCACACTCCATTGCCGCAGGTGACTGAGCCGTCTCCTCCCTCGCCAACTTCCACCGAGGGTCCCGATGCCACAGACAGCGACTCTTCTGTCTACACTGCTTCCTCTTCGTCTTCTTCTTCTTTCTCTTTCTCCTCCTCTTCCTCCTTCTATGCCACCTCCTGCTCCTCTAGCACTAGTGACAAGGTCAGCCAATTGGACACTTTGAACGGAGTGGGAGGGGCTTGCTTGTCTGGAAACTTTTGGCTTTCCTCATTCTTTCTCCTTTCGTTCATCACAACCCATGCACATAATTTGCGTATTGCTACTTTTTGCCCTTCTTGTTGTCATTGACGTTACGTCATGCCCCTTCTTCCCCTCCACCTCGTTTCCAGTGAACCCCCCCCCCCC